TTCTGTTGTATGGGATTATTCCATCCCATACGCAGGACTTGGGTTTGCCTTCCTTGAAGCTTGTAACGTTCCCCTCAGGCCATTTTTTCCAACCTGTTAAGGCCCCTCTGAATAGCAGCCCAGCTCTCTGGTGTATTGAAAACTCCCTGAATTTGGTGTCAACCGCAAATTTGCAGAAAATGCCATCCATCCCGTAGTCCAGGTTGCTAGTGGAGACATTAGGTAGTATTAGTCTTAATATCACTAGCTGAGGCCCAGGGATAGCTCTAGTGACAGATTGCCAGTTGGAGTCGTACCACTGATTCAGTCCCTTGAGTCCAGCTGTCCAGCCAATTTTCAACTGCCTATATTATCCACCTATCCAGTCTGTCTCTCACCACGGTGGCCATAAGGATACTATGGAAGACCACATCAAAGCACATGCTAAACTTAAGGTGTAAAACATCCACAGCTCTCCCCTTACCACAGTGTAAGTCGTGTCATTGTATAAAGCAGCTGGATTAATCAGGCATAATTTGCCCTCGGTAAGTCAACGCCAGCCATTCCTAATCATCTTCTTGTCTTTCATGTGCTTGTAAATGGCTTCCAGGATGATTTGCTCCATAAACTTATGGGGATCTGATGTGAGGCTGGCTGGCCGCTAGTTCACCAGATCCCCCCTCTTGCCCTTCTTGATGTTTATCTTGTCCAGTCATCAGGAACCCTACCCTGTCCTCATGACTTATCAAAGATTATAGAGAGTGACCTCACTAAAAAATATATTACTGTGTGATCTTCAGATGTATCCCTTCTAGTCCCGTAGACCTATATAAGTTTGTTCTGCTTTGCACCATATCTCAGTTCCTAAAACATTCTTTTGGATTTTAGTTCAAATTGACCCAGGCTGCCAAAGTGAATAATAAAGATTCCAGGATTTGTCTGATTTTGATCAATACCCTTAAAATCATATCATGCTCTTTTGATCATAGAGATAAAATGAAGTCACAATAGTTGGAGGCAGATTTTGGAGACACCTGTCTTTTAGGCTTTCAATGGCTTTATGAAATAATTGGCCACTTCCAAAAAAACAGATTTGAATAAAAGCTTACATTCTGAATGGTAATGTTTACCTGTTTCATAAAAGAAGCTGAAATTTAAGTTTTCAGAAATGTTCCCAAACCATAACACGTGTGTTCTAAGTTTCAGGCATTTAGTAGTATTCAAAGCCAAATAAATCCTGTCTGGTGTCAGTCGTCTTTTTAAGAAAGTGGCCAGTTTCTATTGCCACCTAGTAGAGCTTCTGCTTCAGTTCAGAAACTTCAGAACTGCAACATGGAGAGCTGATCTTTCACTGCTAAACCCTTGCAGACACTGAGGTCACTTATTAAAGGACTGAGTACCCATTTAACCACTTGGTAACTTAGTCAACATTCCTGATCCAGTGTTGACGAACCGACAGCTCAAGTTTTTGCTTTTTAATAGGATATTTTAATATCCAGAAGCAGTGTGTATCCCATAGTGCAGTGAACTATTGTGAAAACAATAAATATCCTAATTGAGTAAACCATAAGTATATGATGTTGGTAATGATTTTGGTTACTTCTTGTCTATAGATCCAGGGAGAAGATACATGAGAGATTGTTCCAGGGATAGGAGCTTACAGTGGAAAAACACAATGTAAGCTGTCCCGGACTGCCTTATGTAAATAGATGTCCATTTCTTTAGATCCCTGTTTCTGACTGAGTTTTCAGGTGGGAATTCCATAAGGATGTAAGTGGGGCTGCAAACATCACTTTAAATTTGCAGTAAAGTCTAATAGTTTCAAATGATGAGCTTTATCATAATTCAGAAGGAATCTAAATATCAGTTACATGACACTGCTTTATTTGTGTCTTCCAGTTCTTTTTCTGCTCCCTCACCAAAACAAAAAACATCAGAAACATGCCAAAAAGTCTGAAACAATACAAAACAAAACAAGATGAATAAATATGCTGAGGTTGTCTTTCGCAGAGAAAAAAAACACTGGAAAATTATCTGTAGGATCAATATCACCATGAAGATCTGAATCAAATTTTGAACATCTGTTCTTTTCCTTACATATAAGTATAGCTTCTTCAATGTGGTAGCTTGGAAATAAGTAATTTGCTTCTGCTCTTTATTTGAGTCCTAAAACTTGTATTTGCATTTCAAATATATACTAAAGTTTGATAGTAGTGAGGTGAAGAATGAGTTGAAGTAATTTCTAACAGAAACACAGGTGGTGACACACTTTGGTTTATGCTGTATATGAGCCTCAGCTATTCTATTTGATGTAGCTCATAATACCTCTTTCCCACATTCTGCTATTCATGTTTGCTTTCTTTTACCAATGTTTTCTCATGACCTTGAGTTTAAAGAATTTCATCAGTACATCTCTCCGATTATCCAAAATGGTAGAGGTACTGTCAGATGTCCTCTTGCTCACTTGGATCTTCATTCTGTTAAAGGTCGTCATGTATTAAAGTCAGAGTCACTAGGAAAGTTGAAGGGTATTTATCCTTTTTGGTTTGTTTTACTAAATCTCTGTGAAAATAAGAAAAGCTGGCTTGATTCCCTCTATTTATACATAGAAATAACTCTTGTTCACTGAATGACCCTTACCCTATAGATCCAGTCATCCATGCCATGGGAAAAAAAAATTGTTGTGTCTATTCATTTTCACTGGATGTCATCCAGAAAGCAGAAATATTACTGCTTATGTTCATCTCGTGTTGATGAACTGCAATAAAGGACTCTTCATATGCCAAAGTTAATCTGCTAACGTAAGATTTACTGCTCTTTGCAGTGCCATGCCAAACGTACATCTTCAGCACTTTTTCCTGTTTTTTTAACCTTAACTCTTTACTCCTGGAAAATCATCCTACCATTAAACTGTACACAAGTAAAAAAGTTTTAAATGACCTGAAACTTTTTCCCTTCTCTGAAACATATAATCATTTGATAAGTTGGCCTATGAGGACACACACATACATTCACATATAAATGGAAATGCCAGCATTGTCATTCACAGAAAAATTCTTCAAGCAGCAGTGTCAGTCTCTTAAGTCTATGAAATAGTCCTTCCTAGGGGAGTAAATGAAAATCAGAACTATATTACTTAAACAGTCAGGTTCAGGTTCTGCAAGTTGTACCTAAGGCAAGCAAGGTCTCCGCCTGAAAATAAGGAGTTGCAGACTCAACTCCATTTTCAGAAAGCTGTTCCAGAAAATGTGTCAACCCATTTGTTAGCTGTGGTTGCTGGCAGTTATAGGCAAATCCATTTGTATACTGATTGCTTTTTCTCCGTGATGTTATAACATAGCACACATGGCATAAAAAATTTAAAATCTCTCTAGTAAAACATGTGTGAATGTGTACGGACGGCAGAGTTCTGTCCTGTGCTGTTAATGCCTGTGTGCCCCAACCCCTTGCTTTCAGATTTTTCATAAGTGCCAGCAGCTTATTCCACAAGTGATGTAGAGGTCTGTGCAAGAGGTCTGTGCAAAAGGAAGAAAAAGCTACACTTTTTTTCTTTTATTTTGAAGCAGTGAAGTCCCTCCAAAAGGCCAGTCTAAGTTCACCTTGAGGGCATTAGCAGAGGCTACTTTAAAATAAAAATCTTTTAGTACTAGTCAATTGAAAGATAAAGCCTTTTCTGTTCTGTGTAAATAATTTTTGATCAATGTACTGTTCTAAGGCAATTCACGATTAGCATATCCTATAGCTTATTGTCAGACCTTGTCCACAGGGTACAATTGTGACACAGACTGTGAATATTCAGCAATAGGAGTCTGTAAATCTGAGTAAGTAATGACAAAGCCTCTTTAGGGAAAGCCAGAATGAGGTGAGCTGAGTAGAATAATGGCAGTCTTGAGGGGCAGGGGGGTATTTTAATTTAATCAAAGCCAGAGCAACTGAAAAAGATACTATTAAAAGGACTTGCTCTCTGAAGTAAATACTTTTCAGATAAATGCACCGTTCAAACTGACGTGCTAAATTGGCATCCTTACATCCACTCTATTCTCTGGATCAAAGCAAAGTTAATCATTTCACTTGCCTTTTATCTATTTTATGGATGTGTGTGTGGGTATGTGTGTGTATGTATGTGTATGGTGTGCGCATGTGCACACATGAGTAACAGAGGTTTTTGCTTTTTCTGTAATGAAGTTGAAGATATTTTTTTTTAATGTAGTGGTACCTAATAGTCATTGCCCACTGTTGTAAAAGCTCCAAAGTATTGCAGCTTTCTCTTGCCTGTGTTTGCCCAGCCACCCTTCTACATACTACAAGCACTGGGAAATTTCAATGACACAGCTTGGAATGGGTTCAGTGACCTCAATTATGCCCTCCCACCCACTCCAAACTCCTTTCAATTTGCAAAAAGCTTTAAGTGGACAAAACCCAGATGCCTTTTGCTTGTAGTTCAGTAAGAACAGATTGGGCATGTAGATTCTTGTCAAAGTGATATATGTAGTTCATTTTCCATTAACTCTTTCTTAACTAAGGATTTTAAATTCTCGGTTCTGAGTCTAGCACTCTGCTTTGCTTTCTACTGCTTTTTAAAGTTCATTGTGCCTATAACATCACTTAAAAAAATGAACCTTAAAAAGCCTTGGCTAGACATTGACTGATACGAAACAGACTGAATGTTTGGTTCTGCTTTTAAAGGCAATCACTTTTTTTTCTTTTTAAACTTGTTTCATATGTAATAACCCATCCTATTGTGTAAGACAGTTCAAAAGCACTAACTAAATATAATAAATAAAAACACCAGTTTGGGGGGAGAAAGAAATCATGACTTGTGGAAATGATTTACTAGTCAAAACCAGTACTTGGGCCCGGATGACCTTGAGAGCTTGCTTCAGTTGGCTTGCTTAAACTTAGATTGCTTTCACAATGTTGTAATATTCCCCCAAAGAGTCGGTGCCTCTCCCCTCCCCCAGAACATTTCATTACACTCCCTTTCTCCCTCTCTCTCTCTCTCTTTCTCTTTCATTCTGCAGAAACATGTGCTGTCAATAATGGAGGCTGTGATCGGACTTGCAAGGATACCGCGACAGGGGTACGATGCAGTTGCCCAGTTGGATTTACCCTGCAGCCTGATGGGAAAACGTGCAAAGGTCAGCTTCTGTTTGCTTTGCAATGCATCGTTTGCCTTCAGTGGTTCCAGTACAAGATGTAAATACTCAGTTATTTAATCAATACTTTTAAGTTAGGGCAATACTGGCATAGTAATTGCAATTGAGTTCATTGCCTTTCTCCTTCCCTAATTTTTCTGTATTTACCTATTTCAGTCATTTTTCTCTCTATTTATTAGAGGGTTTTATTACTGCAAAGAAATGAGGTACAGAGGTCAAACTGTTTCAAACTGACCAGAGATTTAGAGGAACGACTCTGGGCTGCAGAAAGCCTTCAGTTTCAAAGGACAGTCTGATACTCTTGTACAACTAATTGTGTCTGAATTTCTCTATTCAAAAAGCAAGTTAAAATTCTCAACCAGTACTTTGTTACCTGCAGATAATCAGTTGGTTATTACTAAGTGAAGCCAAGCAAAAGATGCAGAAGTATTGCTCAAAAAAAACCCCAGACAATTGTCCATTTCTGCCCATTCAAAACATAGGTAGCCACCTAGAAAGAAAAACCAAAACAACATTTACTAGTGCACAGGTCTAAACTGTACAGCTGATGCTCGGATTTTACTGTTCCAAAGGCAGCGCAAGAACCTTGGCATTTTGTCCTTCGTGAGTGTATTAAAACTGAGGTCAGGGGAAGAGAGAAAAGAAAAGAGCATCTGATATCACTGTCAACATCTGTTCTCAGTTAAGGCAAAAGGGACAGTTCTCAGATATCCCTGCAGAATCACACTTAATGCCACTATGCATGTGAGTAGATTTGGATACATGTTAGTAGGACCAGGCCCTCCATCCACCCTTTTCCCGTCTTCCTATGTATTTCTTTTGAGCTTCATTGCAAGAGACTTGGTGATGGACATCCAGGAGGACATTGCATATATTGTCGTCACAGAGAATACTTTTTTATCGCTCAGTGACGTAGCATAAGTTCACCTAACTTGCTAAGAAACTGTTGGGACTTTTTTCCTTCAAAGTAACCAGAAATGTCAGAATATCTTCAGTCCAGGCCTTGATGTTACTTAAAATAGTAAAACCCACAAAAATAAACAGAAAATGTGTGGTTTCCTCTTGCTCCAGGCTGAAAAATCTCTGTGCTTGGGCATGATCCTGTTAGTATTTATAGAAATAACAGCCCATTTGCCTGTTTATTTGAAAATAAAACATTTAAACTGCTGTTGCACACAATGGTAATAGTTAAGGGTGAGCACACATCAAAAATCAGTTGTTTTAGTTCAAGCCACATAAAAATAAATCTTCATTTTTACAGGCAGACTAGCTAAGTCGTAGCAGAGCAGTAACAGTGATTCCACCGAGTGCTTGAAAGGGAGGCATTTTAATACTGTAACATACACCTAGGCTTGATCATAATGTTTATTATTGAAACTATATCATGAAAAAAAAGATTAATTCTAAATTTAGAATTTGGGGCATAGAACTAATATGAAACAATATTTATATAATAATCAAGTCTATAATTTGTGCTACAGACAAAATCGAAATATCCAACTGATCCTCAAACCAAATACCCTAGCTCTAAGCTCTTTTACATTTTTTCTTTTCTCCTTTTTTATGAGAAGAAAATATAAGAAACAGAATCTGTATTTTTATGATACTGCAGATTCTTTCTTACTTTCTTAAAATAAGCAGCAACTGGAAATTAACTCACATGGTTTAACAAACCAACCAGGCCATTTCTTTTTAACCTTTGTTGACATTTTAGGAAATACTCTTCATCATAAAATGGTAAAATATATGTTTTGCATTTAATTTAACTGTAATTAATAATATTTATCTAACGTATTGCACTGGGAGATTTCTGGGCTAGATTCTGCTTCCCTGAAGCTAAAGTAACTTCCAATGTAAATCTGTGCCTGAAGGATCCTGCACTTAGACCAGTGAGGCTTCTTCCGTAGCTTTCACAGGCAGTCCTCAGTCAAGGCTGCTGTCTAAGATTTACATCTTCTGAGTGAAAAAGGGAGCATTTTGGTGGAGTGGCATTGAGGCCTTCTCAGCTTGTCTTGCTTATAGGTAAAGCCTGGAAAATGCTGGGCTGGGGGAATTCAGTGTGTACATACTACTTCCTCCGACTTCTATAGGAAACAGAAGAAAAGAGTGATCAGCTCAAGTTTTCTCCTTTGATTTTTTTTTCTCTTTACTCACCTTGATTTGACTGGCCCACAGTTTCTCATATATACAGTTCATTGTTCCCTCTAGCTGTAACATTAACCTGTGGGGTAAGAGCAATGGATAATATATTGGATGCACTTTAGAGCATCTTCAGGGGACATGCAGCTGTCACATCCTGTCTTTCTCGGGCAGAGTTTTCAAGTGCGTTGTGTCACAGCAGCTCCAAGTGAGGTTTTTCATAGAACCATCATTTTAAAAGAGGTTATATTTCTAAATGTGGGAGAAAGATAGGCCATTATCTATTAAAGGAAAGTAGAGAGACAGGCCACGTAAGAAAAGCTGAGAGAAATTGGAGGGATAATTAATATATTAACCAAAAAATGCACTTGTGGTTTCAGCAAAATTATTAATATGTTTAGGTTGAATTTAGCAAATAATGTTGACCAAAAAGAATGTTTTTATTGGAAAGTCTATGATTTTTCAGTCCATTTTGGCATCTTGCTCTCTAAGACATTTTACATAGTGAAGCTACTATTTGAAGTTTTGTAGTTGCTTAGATTCAAGAGGCTTAAATAGGACTCAAAGAAACATCTGAACTTTTGAATGCTCCAAGGTGGACATTGTGTAATTCATTAATCTTTAATTCTACCTCACTTGTAGGTGATTTTCTCAATAGTGCACTTTTACCATACTGGTATTTTATGGAAATTTATTGCCACTTTTCTTCCTCATTTTTTGCAAGGGAATCAGGTAAATTAAAGAATATTTTTATTTTAAAATTAATGAACTAGATAAACATATTATTTTTTGAAATAACAAAAATTCCTAGATGGTTCTGCTCAAAAAATCAGGACTAATCTGGTTTAGGCATTGTACAGACATGTAATGGCAAAAAGAGTTTACTGTCCAAAACGTTCACAGGTCTTTGTTTAGTAGTTTGGTGTTTCATTAACAGTGTAGAAAAAAGGTAAGTATACATGCAAAAGGAAAGGCAATTTTTTAAGGAAGAGTATATGCAAACATGCTTTATTTGCCAAAAGAAGGCAAATAAACCCTATTAAATGTAAGCAATTGTTCTATGCTTTGTTTGCAATATCATTATTTCATATTCTATAGTTCTATCATAAAAGCTGGGGTGGATTCAAATCACAGAGTACTGAACTGAGCCAGGACTGAAACTGTGGTATTTCTCCTGGCCCTTTCCCAATGTATCAGAGAATGGAGGAAAGCAATTTCCAAGTAATAAGAGGGACCTACCTTTAATCGTTTTTCATGTCGACCTCTTTCACAGGCTCAGTGGGAAATGAGTTCATTGTACCTCAAAGAATCGAGCTCCTTTTGTTAATGCAGAGTACAGTCTGGTTTATATCAAATGTCAATAAAATAAGAAAAAAAAAAATGTTGTGGAGAAAGCTTTAACATGTAATATGTACAGGTAGCTGCATAGCCAGTAGGAAGACTACTGTAGCAGAAAATTGTTTTGGTTTCTAGAAGCTGAAAAAATCTTTTTTATCTCTGATTCTTTCTTCCTTGCATATATTACTTACCCAATCTCGTAGTGAAATAACAGCAAAAATGCTGTCTGTGGGACAAAAATGCTGTTAGAGGGACCTTCAGATGTGTTAATGGTGGCTGGGATAAAAATTCATTAATGTTTTGCTGTTCTTTAAACGTCAGTGTCAAACTCAAGTCTTCCCTCAGCTGGGTTGGCACACAATGGAGAATCCTTTTTTCCCTTCAGCCTTCCTATCAACTTGGCTCTTAATAAGCCAAACTATTGAGGCTTTTGTCAGCTAAAAGATGAGACACATCCCAGGCAGAAAGAGTTTCATATTCTCCCTCTAATTAATGCTATTTAATTTCTCCTACCATTGTAACTGGGTGATCGCAGCTTGATGATGAGTTCATTTGATGCTGTCAGTTATTGTGCTGCACATGACAAAACAGTGTAGTTCACTTCCTTAAATGCCTACCAAGTCATCCCACAGAAGTCAGCTAATGGACAGAAAGAGGGAGCCAGAAGATTAAAAAGACATAGTGGCCCGGGATGCTTATTGCTTATTGCCTCCTGCCCACTTTTTAATATCCTCTGTATTGTGCATATCAGGGGTTCTGTGATCCCTGGCTCCCTTGCTTGTTGGTTTCTGTGCATCCTTCCTG